AATTGATGTTTCCATTAGACGACATTTACCATCATTAGTATACATAATTATCTTGCATCGAAGTGAACGAATGATATTCACAAATCTATATAAAATATGGCAAATTTTGTTTATCCTTAAATATCAAGTATTAAAGATAAATTTACTTCCATGCTCGACGATATTTATTATGAAATTGTTCAGGTAATGTATCAAATGTATATTGTTCATAGTTCACCGGTAATGGAAGTGGACCTTCACTTTCAATATATGAATTATATTGTCTTCGATCTGGTCGATAATAAATAATCTTTAAAACCAAAAACAAAAAAAAATAAATAGAAAACATTGAAGAAACTATAAAACAATTTAACTTTTTGTCCATCGGATGATACTCGAAAGACATCGACTATTCGTTTTGAACCAGTTTTAACTTCAACAAGATGTTGAATAACAACTTCTCCATCATCCAATACATCCATCTAAATATTTTATTCTATTAATAAATCGAATAAATCTATAACCTACAATATCACTTTTTGTTATAACATGTCGACGATCAAGACGTTGTGTATTTAATGGAGTTAATACTTCATGAATAGGTTTACGTTGACTTATATTATTTGTATTACTTAAATTATTATAACTTAATATGGATGCTGATGAAGCATTTCTAATTGATAAATGATTAAACAAAAAAAGTGAATTATTTTCAAAATAAGATAATTAACATACATTTTTTGATTTTTATTTATGATTAATGGTGGTAAAGAATTTAATGTTAGCGGTCCTCTTGAAAGTCTAAATTTAATGAAAGTATTATTAAAAAGAAGAATAAAAACTTTTTCTTTTTACGTTGATTCATTTGTTTGTTGTCGACTTGATATCGATGTATCAAAATATCCACTATCACTTCTTAATGACTAATAAATAAAGTTTATTTTCAATAGAAACTAAACATTATTAAGATGAAAACGTTTCTACATACAGTACAGCTATTTCTTGATGAATTTATTCGATCATTCATTAGACATTTTGATAAAAATGGATGATTACGAATTTGTATCAATGTCAAACGTTTTTTAGCATCTTTTTGTAATATTCTATTAATTAAATCTTTTGCTTCATGACTTAAACCTTCTGGTAAAACATATCGAACATTTGCAACTCGTCTTAATGTTGAAAGAACATCTAAAATCAAAGAATCAAAATTTCATTTTACTTTTGAATAATAAAATTAATTAATTAATTAATTAACCTTGATCATCAAATGGTGGTTTTCCAACTAAACATTGATATATCAATGCACCTAATGACCATATATCAGCTTCAAAACTATGTGTTTTACGTGTTGCTATTTCGGGTGCAAGAAAATTTGGTGTACCAACCATCGTAAAATTTGTTTGTTCATGTGTAATTAATTGTTTTGCTAAACCAAAATCAGCTATTTTCTTAACAAAACAAAAGAGAATATATAAAAATGTTATTACACTGCAAAGCATCACAGCAGTCAGTTGCAAGTTTTTCTTTCTCTTTTTCGACAAAATCACTATTTTGTATCCTGGTGATCTAAAGATCGATTCGAGCTCTCTTATAAACTTTCGTTAGTTCTAAATTCGTTCCATAAAATGACGATTTTGAAGAATTGTTTGTTTTTCGAGATAATGAAAACAAGTTTCAAAAGCAACACTCAGTGCTCATTAGATCAAATTTCGACGTTTCCGCCATATCGAAGATTTTCGTAACATTCATTCTCTTTTCCAAAGATGGAATCGGTACTGATCGTGAGAAATCCAGAGCGGTTCCATCTATGCTATTTTTCTCGATCATAGAAAATCAGAACAAATTGAAAATAAAAAACTCCATGAATACTTGGTGAATAAGTCTCGTACACTATAGAATACTATAAATTTCATGAATTTTTCAATATAACTTAAGGTGCTGGAAAAACGTTTATTAAAAACGCACGTATTTTATATTTTTCTCTAGAATGTTCAGCAATCAGTTCAAATCTAGGTAGTTATTCAAAAACAATGAAGTTTTCTATTAAATACAATGAATACCAAGATTTTATATGACAAGGCTTCTGAAAAATCGGATACGGTAGTTTTTGGAGTCCAGAAGACTTTCTTGAAACTAGTTTTTAACAATACTATTTTAAAGACAGGAAAATTTTGAAAAAAAAGACGTTTTTTAGTCAATGTTTTGAATGATTTAAGACAAAATCTTAGAGTCTTCCGTGATCTGAAGACTATCGTGTTCGATTTTTTTAAAAAAATCTTGCCATGCAAAATCTTATAATGGAATGTATTAAATTGGACACTTTATTGACTCTCGAATCATTCTCTATATTTAAGCTAGATGATGAATATCATAAAAACAAATATGTTACTGTTAAGCTTTTTTTTCTAACACCCTATATTGATTTTCAATTAGCAAAAAATCACGTTCTAATCGATATGTGATGCCTAGAATTAAACTTGTCAATCTAGTTTCTACAATACAGAAACATGTTTTTGTTTTTGCTAAATTTAATATTTTGATTGATTCGAAAGTTTAATAAACTTATAACCAATCTAGACTGTGCTTTGCCCATGAACGTAGCCTGTGTAATATTCTAGTTTTAACTTTATTTATTTATAAAATACGTACGACATTATTATCTTTTGTTAAAAGTAAATTATGTAATTTAAGATCACGATGAAGAATTTGATGAGAATGTAAATATTCAATACCAGTTACTATTTGTTTTATATAATGACGTGCTTTAAATAAATGTATAATAGAAAAAATATTTTAAAAATAATTTATATAATCTTACTTTCATCTTCAGTAAATTGTTGACGAATATTTAAATATTTTTGCATATCTGTTGCACATAATTCAAGTATAAGATAAATATTTGTATCATCTTCAAATACTTCAAGTAACTAAATTAAATATTATAGAAAATTATTTTTCAATAATCAAATTAAAATATAAAAATAATCATATCATTCCTTCATGATCTTATTTTGTGAGTTAGATCATGTTGAAGTCCATCATGTGTAGAATGAAAATTGCAATTTTATAAATAAAATTTCATTTTCTAACATATCCTACTTTCTCATCAACTAAATTGATAACTCTTGTTAGTTTCAATTAAACATACTTTACAGTTTGCAAAAAAAATTTTACTAAGAACAAGGCATTCCTTGAAAAGGCATTTCAATCTGAAGAAATTTGGCCAACAGATATGTTTGATAACTATTCGATTATTCTGAAAGTTTCAATGAAAACAAGTATGTCTTTCTTGAGACTTTCGATATTCAGAATAAGCAAATGATTGACCACAGGACGACATAATAATACAGTCTATTTCAAAATTGAATATTTTGAAAATGACATGTTCGTTTTCATTATCAATTAATGCAACGTTTGCTAAATCTCAAAGTTGCTGATTCAAAAAACCTTTAACTTTGTTAAAGTGTGCAAAAAATAACTAATTTATTTAACATGGCAAGTATTGGCATCAAAATTTTACTATTCTAATTAGGAGATAGAATCTTTCAAGAACTACATGATTGCTATCTAGTTTTTTGTTCATTTCTAATCACTAGACTTAAACAAACTGTTTTTTTATTTATTAAAATTAGCCATATTATAGTCTTGCAATATTATTTATTTGTTTCTTCACACACCTAATAATGAAATTTAATCATAAATTTAAAAAATAATGATAGCATAGCCATGGATCCTACTGAAAATGTTAAAGAGACGTTTATATTAACGCATTCGTTATTAAAAAATCTTGTGATAATCAAAATTAGACAATCAATGTATCCCAGATTCTGTTTTCAAATTTTTATTTCTTACAAACCTGTACGATGGCTAAATTACGCAAACGATAATGTATTTGAACTTCTTCATTAACACGTGATTGAGCATTTTTTAATTTTAATTGTTGTTTATCCATCTATAATAAAACTTTTTTTTTTTCATTATTTTCATTTGAAAAAAATTGAATACATACAATTTTGATAGCTACATTAAGTCTATCACATAGACGAATACCTCGATAGACTTTAGCAAAACCACCAGTACCAATTAATTCGAATTTATCATAATTCTAAATATGATAATAGACTAGAATAGAAATAGTTCAAAAAAAAAACAAAAAATTTTTACTTTGATAGGATCAAGATTAATACATGTATCACATGAATGTGGTGTCCATTCAGCTGTACTTACAGCCATGATTTATGTTCTAAATTACAGAGAATAATATGATGAAAGTAGGAAATATTTTTTTCCAATAGCGAAAAATCTTCAGTGATTTCCTTTTCACAATTAATCAAACTGTTCTTTTATCACGTTTTTTTTTTCATTCAACCGACAGATGACTATAATTAATAAGAAAGACAAAAATTTCGACTATAATTTAACCAAATGTACCGATTCATCATTTACTTCAAAAAGAACTTAAGAATTCGGATGAGTTTTACATAAAATCTTTCTATTGATATTTACTATTTAGTTAACTCATTATAAATCAGTTCTGTTCTGATCAAATCCAGTGTACAAATATTTTCTGTTCGAATCTTTCTTCATGTATATTACAAACGAAAAAGAAAAATTACTACTAAAGTATCAATAGATAAAAAAACGAATTCAATTAACATCGTTGAATGTTCATTCGTTGAATGACGCAACTCATTGTTTCCCACATTTTTTTTCAAATCATGCAACCATTCCCAAAAATCGAACAAAATCAATAGAAAAAAAATATTCTTAAAAAAAAAATATTTTTTTCTAATCTGAAAGTACTCTAAAATTCTCTAGATTCTTTAATATTAAAATAACTAAAGCGCCCTCTATTTTTCCTTTTATTTCGTTCGTCAATTTTTATTAACGAGTTTTGTCTCTATTTGCTGGCTTGTTGTTTATTGTTTGTCTCAATCAATGATCAGTTAGATAAAGAATATCGATAAATTTATATCTTTAGATTTCGAGTAAAAAACAAAACAAAACAAAATAAAACAATGAATTTACATAATGATAAAGAACTCAGCGATCTACTCGATCTCAATGCGGTAAATCGATAAAATATGAAAAAATAAAAAAAACACGTCTTTTTTTTCTATAAAGGTGAAACATCGAAGTCGTTTTCAAAATAGTATTATGAATTCATCATCTCGTCATCCTCTACCGGTAGGTCTTTTTTTTTTTTTCATATCTATATGTTTTAATGATTTTCTTGTTAGATGTTATGTCCAACTATTCCTTATCCCAGTGGTACACATGTTCCACCTCCTTCGACAAATCCTGAATCAATGTATAGTGGTGCAAATAAAGGTTTTATAAATTTTTGTTTGATCGAAAACCTTTATTCAATTCTTTACATTTGTAGATTATTGGAATAATTGTGCACCATCAACAACTTACGATGATAGAGTTTGTATCATTTCACATAAAGAAAAGATACTTTGTAATATTGGTTTTTTTTTTGTTTTTATATAGATGTATGATGGTAATTATAGCAATCGAGATCTTCTTCATCCATTTATTACATCAGAACCATTAAATAATATTTCATCGAATTCTGTAGGATAAGCATTAAAAAAAAAAAAAAGATAAAATTATTATATTTATTTTTGTTTTTTTTTTTAGACTTCACGAACATCTACTAATGATTTGACATATTCAGGTTTATAAATAATTCATCGTTTGTTTATATATTCTTTCTCGTTTTTCTTTTTCTTATAGAAAAACTTGATGAAAAAACTCGTCGATCAACAAATGTAAGTGACGATGCGTTTAGTTTATGTAATAGAATATACATCAAATGTCTAACCACTCTTTTTAATTGTTAAACGTTTAGTTAAATTAATGACGAATTAGATATTTATTGCTTGTCGTACGCATGAGAGCGATCTGGTCAAAATCAAACGAACATTTACAGAGTTTATTTGAAGAGCAAATCAAAAAGAAAAAAAAAAAAAAGAGAATTTACGTGTCCGAAATAGGATAAAAATAGTATTGAACATGAATATGATTTTATTCTTATAATTAACTGTATTTGATTAAAAGAAAAAAAAAAAGCGATTTTTTAATCATATATCTTTATTTTCTTTATTCTTTTTTTTTGACTTCTGTTTTTGACATTGGATGTTGACGTGTGAGTAATTGATATAATTATTTGCTGTCTCTGTTTCTGACATGACAACATCTTTCTTCTGTCAGAAGATAGATAGAGAACAACTTTGTTAATTCACTCGATGATAAATTAAGATGAATGAAGAGACAATGAAAATAAATTTCTTTTTTTTTTCTTTTTCTTTTTGAAAATCTGAATAAGAAGTCCTTACGGTTCACTTAGAACATCGCTTATTTCTCATCTTTTTTTTTTTTTATTCTTTCTTCCTTTATTCTTCGTATTTTCTATTGAAGAAGGTATGTGCACCAGCTGGTCGGGTGACATGAATATATTGTGAACGAATGAATTTCAAGAGAATAAGAGAAGTTCGCTTCGTCTATCTTCTATATACAATAGGCTCGATTGTATGTGTATTATTTGACCGGGGTCGTGTATGTGATAAAATTAATAGTCGTGTTTATCTACATTCGATGGCACACGAACGAGCTTTCCAGCTGCGCTACGAGCTTTCCTCTTTGTAAACATCATATAAGCATTGCGGTAAATGTAAAAGGGACAAACAATGTAATAAACGTTACTAGTAGTGATGTTGGTCTCTCTCTCTCTTCTTTGCTTGAAGATGTCGTGAGATATGATAATAGATATTCGATTGTTACTACTGCTTGTTTCCGACAATGATAAATGAGTAAAAAAAGAGAGAGAGAGAGAGAAAAAAGAAGCGCTAATCGACTTTGTGCATATATACAAATGAAAGAAGCTTGTGTAATAATTATTCGACGACATAAACGTAGATAATAAAGACAGAAGTCTAATAAGAAATGTAGCTTGAGGAATAGGTTTTTTTTCTTTCATTTTGATCTTGACAAAAAAAAACTATGACTATAAGCAAAGATCTCCGTTCTTCCAATTATATTGCTTAATATACAGTTGTTTATCTGCGGATGAGGGAGAAACTCATTCGCCCGGGCGCACGATGCCTGCTCGAGATACGAGCTTTTGTCTTTACATTTATTTCACCTTCTCTGTCTTCCGCTGCAAGACAGCAGCAAACAAAAAAAAAGGAGAAAGAAAAGAGAGAGAGAGAGAGAAGGAGAGCGAGAGATGATGATGATTTTTTTTTATACGTCTTGTTTCTCTCTTTCCTGTTCGTATGCCCGCCTCTAGTTAACACATCGCAAGATAAGGATATCTCGCTGTTCCAGTGAAAGGTCTCCCGCATCGATCGACTCTCCTTCTCTTTTTCTTTTTCTTCTCTTTCGATGCATATCACTTTTTCCCTCTTTCCTGTGCTATCAAGCAGTGCTACACGTATACTACGAGTTTATTTGACACAACAATTATAAGTCAATTTGATTTCTTGTTCTTTCTTTTTTTTTGACTAACTGTGATGAAATAATCGCTTTTTTTTTCTCAATACAATACAAATGTTCTACTATTCTCGACCATCATATCAGGTATGAAAATATAATATTTTATTTTTCATCTTGTCTTAAGAAATAGTTAAGCATCAGAAGAAGACAAAGATGAAGACCTTCTTATTGCAATTTTCTTTTTTACAATTTATATCGGATTAAGAAAAAACGAATAGTAATTGTCACCTTGTCTTTAGTACGAATAGAAATAGAAAAAAAAAGAGGTTTTTTGTTATTTAGATCTTCTTTATTGTTTTTTTTTTTTCGTTTTCTTTTGCTTGTCTTCAAATGCAATTGATCGGATAAAGAAGAAAAAAAAGAAAGATAATGCTAATCAACACATTCTCCTGCTCAATCGAACGATGTGAATGTCAGCATGAATTGCGCTCGCACGTCCTTTGATCTCGTGCCGAGTGAGCACAAACAAACGAACCTTTTTCTCTTACATTCTCTTGATTAGCCAACATAAAAATCAGTGGGCGATCAAGTTTTTTTGCTCGAATGATACGTCGTCAGTCTTCTGTTTGGATGAGACTGTTGATTTTAGTATATCGGATTAATTTCTATCATGAAATTATCATCAGAATTTGCCTATATGTATATATATATACGTTTATTGCTGACAAATGTGTATTGGCTATGGTTCGATTGGAAAAAAAAGGAGGAGGAGGAGAATAATAATAATAATCATCATCATCGAACATCGCTTGGGAAAAATAATTAGAATTGATTTTCTATGGAAAATATCTAATGAAGAGAGCACTTGTGTGATTTATCATATGAGGAAAAAAACTAAAGCGTTTGCACATGAGGTCAATCAAAACAACTTAGATATTAATAGGCTATAGACGTTCGTTATACAATCATTACTTTTTCATATTAGGTCTATACATCGGATGATTACAATCCAGAAAATGCTGGACGATATCCAACTGGAAAATCAATTTATGGAAATGAATCAACATATTATATCGGTATGTAAATTAATTGAAATATTATTGCTTTTTGGATGAAAGCTTTTTGTTTAATAGATGGTCAAAATGGTGCTTCATGGTTACCACCACCACCATCAACTTATTTACCAAATGATCTTGCTAATAATCATGGATCCTTTACAGATTCAACAAGTGCATGTTTACCGTCAATGGCAAGCTTTCGATTTCAACAACCAACGTCATATACGAGTAATGGCAATGAACAAACAGTACAAACTGGAGAAACTCTTGGAAAAGCATTACAATCTGTATGATATTTAACAAAAATAAATAGGAAAATGAACAGTATTTGTTTCTTTAGATCTATCCAAGTGATCATCCCTATTCTTCGACACCATCAACTCCTGTCTCTCCACCACCATTGAGTGGTATATATTGCACAAAGTTTTATTTCAACAAAAAACCGAAATTTGTTTGTATTTTTATAGGATCTAGTCAATCGTGGGTAACTGCAACACCAGTAGCTCAACCATATCAGAATCAATTACATCCTCTTGTAAGTCTTATTAAATAATAAAAGAAAAAAAACACAATACTAATCTTATTTTTAACTGTAACCTCAGACATCTCTAATCGATCTAAGTGATGAACCGTATTATTTGCTCAATTTAAATGAGGTTTGTGTGTTTAAAAAAAAAAGCATAGGGTGATGGGAATTTAAATTCTATTGACTGAATTTGGAAGAAAATAAGATCGCATTCATTTTTGTTTTTAGCCACCAAGATTAGATGTTGATGATTCATTTCGTCAGCCACCAACAGATTATCATCATTATTATACTGGTTATCATCATCCACATTCCACTGGACCTTATTCGGCTTTTTTAACTCATCCAACAAATTTACATCCATCATCAACATCCGATACATCATCACGAAATCCACATCATGATCCATACTTAACATGTAATGATACATTTACATAAAAAAACAACAATGTTTTTTATTTATTTTTATCTTTCAATTAATCTAGATGCGAATCCACCATCAACATCATCATCAACTTCATCTACAGACGCAAATACAGTTGTGAATCCAGATTTAAAAATAGAATGTATTGATAAAGTTAAATTAGATATTGAAAATAAACCGCCACCACCACCACCAACAACAACAACAACTGGAGGACCATCTCAATTAACAACAGATAAATTAAATGAATTTAATTTACGACAACAAACATTAACTGACATATCACAAGAAAATGCATCACCATTAACAATAGCTGTTGGTGGTGTTACAAATAATGTACATATTGGTCCATCATCATCATCATCATCAAAATTACGAAAGTAAAAGAAAAAAAACAAAAATGTCCTATATTTAAATCTTTGTTTTTTTTTTGAAAGTTCATTGACACTTAGTCCCAATAGTCAAATAAATTTATCATGTATGCGTGGTGGACCTGGTTCAGAAGGCAGTATTGATCCAGATGAAACACCTGAGGAACGTGAACGACGAGAAAAAGATCGACGAGCAGCAAATAATGCACGAGAAAGGTAAAAAAAGTAACATAAATATCTCTTGAATCTTAAGAAAAATTTTATTTTAGATTACGTGTTCGAGACATAAACGATGCATTCAAAGAACTTGGTCGAATGTGTTCAATTCATATGCGTAATGATAAACCTGTTACCAAATTAGGTATACTTCAACAAGCTGTTAATCTTATAACAACACTTGAACAACAAGTTCGAGGTCTGAAACAGAAGGAAAAGAAAAAAATTGTATTTGAAGTAAAACTTCTCCTTTGTTTAGAACGTAATTTAAATCCCAAAGCTGCATGTTTACGACGACGTGAAGAAGAAAAAGCTGAAGATTTAAATGGAAATATGAGTTTAGGAGGACCAATGCCGCCAACCGGTACTGGAGGTATTATGTCAACAGAATCATCTTCAATCGATGGTTCAAATTTTATGGAACAGATGCATCAATCTATTCCACCATCATATTGGCAACAATAATAAAAAACGAAAAACCTTTGCATGTTTTGTTTTATTTCTTCTATTGTACAACTTATGTGTGCGTTCGCTATTACTTGCTTATCGGTGCCTTTGTGTCTTTTTTTTTCTCTTTGTTTCTTCTTATTTCTCTATATCTCATTTAAATATTATATACATAAATATGAGAAAAAAAAAATAATGACATGACCAAGATTTTTTTCTTGTTTTTTAGTATTTGCCTGTATTTTTCTTCGTTTGTATATGATGATGATGATGATGTGTGCAGCAATAAATGAAAATTAAGATAGGACAAGACAGTATTCTTTTTTTTTGTTTTTTGTTTTTGTTTTTTTTCTTTCGTATTCGGTTGTGCAAATTTATACATCTCGTTTTGTGCAATCTCTTGTGAGCCAGCAATACATTATTTGGTTTATTTGTTAACAATTTTTCAAATGTATTGTTCTTGTTAATGCATTATTTTTACCAATTGGGATTGACAAGATATAGAAAAAAAACGTAGTCGAAAATTCGAATATTTGTTTTTTTCTTTTGTTTGTACATTGCGCATGTTTAATAGAAAAATCTTCTCGTTCTTTTTCTTCTCGTCCATTGATCTGTTAACTGTTTTGTTTTTTTTTCTCTTACTGTATGACATTTCTTTGTTTCTTTCTCAATTGTTGTGCTTGCTTTTGAGTATTTCATCTCTTATCCTTGTTGCTTTACACACAAGAAATGTGCACATGTTTATTAATAAAAGAAATAACAAAGAATTTATATTTTTATTTATCAATATTGATATATAAAATATTGAATGAAGAAAAGTAGACAGATTAAAATATTTTCTTTGATATGAATCTTATCTTACATAATTACTTTTGATATGTTTTTTTTTCTAATATAATAACATTTTGATGATACATATCGAGATTTAATCACTGCTTAAGTCGATAATGTAGTGTTAATTATTTTGCGAATAGATTTGCCGAGGCTATCATGATTTAGATGGAAGAAGGATATTGCTAGATTAAGGAGGTTGACCACAGGATTTTTGTTAAATTGATCGACATTGGAGATTGGTTGTGTGTTGTGGTCTTTGGAAAATGATGATCAATAAAACGCTAGAGTCTTGCTGGAGAAAAACGAAAATTTTTTTAAGATTAAAATGGATGAGAACGAATTGGATGTAAGCCCAAATGTTCGTATGAGATGACACGTGACAAAATGATAACAAATTGACTTGAGAGTGAATGAAAATTTATTGATGTATTTTATTACATGGCCAGTGATAATTCGAAAGAGAAGAGAGAAAGAGAATGAGAATGATGTGTATAAATGAAGTGACTGATTGAAGGTAGCAGTCGAGAAGAAGTTTAATAATGAAATATAAATGTGTAATAAGAACGAAGCTAGGATTTTAGGTTCGGAAAGGTACATTCCCCTTCCTACAAACCTTTAAGCTCCAATTAACGAGATTTATTGAAAAATATTTTTTTTCTGATATAAATAATGTATTAGTCTTCGTAATCAAACGATTTAACACATGTATCTTATTTTATGGAGCTCATATATAAAACAAATACGAGTGCCACACAATAGGATATGTGCTAAAACGTTTCATAATAAAGATTAATACATTTTCGTATCATAAAAAAAATATCTTTAAAAAATCTAGCCAAAGATGAGACTAAGTTCTCTCTGAACCCAACCTGGCTCCGCCACTGATGTGTTCGACGAAGAAAGAACTAATAAGATGAGTATTAATGGCGAAAATAAATGTTTAATGATGAGTGAATTATAATCATGAATGAATTATTGTAAATAACGAGAAACCAGTTATTATCGATTACAATAAGAACATAGATGATTGCTTGTCTTGTCACATGGGATCATCCTTAGACAATCGCCACTCGAAATAGATATGGTATTGTCTATTATTTTTCTTCTTAATAGTACGCTAAATTCAAAAAACTTCAATTGATTGGAATGGTATTTCCTGAAGGTGACATCAGGATGAATGACAGATTAGCACCAAAAATACTAAGTGAAGGAATAGATCGATCGCAAAGAGATAATTCTATACTGAAAATTTCGAATCTCCATTGATGGAGATATCACTTTGGCATCTTTCTGTGCATTAGAAAGAAGAAAGAAATTATTTATAAAATTCTATCATGGAAATCGAATTACTATATGACTATTAGGGAACATTTCATATGTTAGGAATTCGTCCATCCAAATTGAGTTGTAAACATTTCTTTTTATGTATGTTATAGTTAACAACTAGACCATTAATTTATTTATGAACTTGCTTTAACTGATACTTAATTAATACTATGCGAAGCACGGCATTTCTATAGACAGTCTTATACGTATCAACCTGCATAGTTTGTTTTTTTTCTACCATAAAATCTGTATTTTGTGACGCGGTATTCTAGAGCACGACAAGTCAGTAGAAACTCGTTCGAACATTGGCAGAAAGGTCGATCTTTCGAAATGCTATAAGCGTTTTCGAATTCTCAGTATGAGTTTTCGTTCAGCTTCAATAAGTTCTGCAAAATCAGTGGTTTGGATATTTTTGTCTCTATCTTTTGTTCAGCGTATTTAAAAGTGGTTAGCTAATTACTGTTCTTATATTAATTGAAACTCTATTGTCGAAAACTGAGATCATTTCGCACCACGTCTATTCAGTCCGTTATAAGTTTTCTTTTGTTTTACTAGACATAAGCATCGAAAATCACGGTTTTCTGTGGCAATGATCTTGAGAATAGGGAATTAGAAAAAATATATATATATATAGACGATCTTGTACTATCGTATTCATGCATTGAAGAAGATAATAATTGTTTTAAAAGCCTAGTCTTATAGAAAACATTTTTCCGTACGAAGTCCTTCTCTTTAAAATCAAAATCAACTGTATTTCTTAAGCTGTTTTCCTTTTTTAAGCCATAAATAGCAAAAGTAAAAAGGCTTGTTGTAATTTTAGCAGCCAAGAGGATATGTATTTCATTAAACAAGAATATGTCAAAAGAAACTTAATATAGTACATTGTTCTAAACATTGTCTTCAATCCATGTAGAACTATGGTAAAATTTTTACTCTTGCCATTCATAACATAAAAAGGGTTTATAATTTAAGTTATATAATGCGTTTTGGTTTCAAATACAAGAGTTTCTTATGGGGAAAAGATTTTTTACAAATCTATCTTGTTAAAACAACTTTTATTTTCTTCAATGAGTGAATATAAACAGTACAAGTATGTCTATCTGTGATTTATATATACATAGAAGATGAGTAAAACAATTTTTCAACGTAACATATTTATTTAGATAGAATATCTGATGCAATTTTTATTGCTCTTAATAATAATATATCGAACAATAAAATTAGCTAAACACCGTAGGAATTATGTAGAGTGCAAGTTATTCTATTGAATTACGTGTTATGACGAAAATTTCAACTTAGAACGGAAACAACCGTGTTCTATTGATAGAAATGAATCAACATGTCAACATTGTTTACTATCATGTAAAGTACGAAAATCTGTTAAACCCATTTTTCTGCGTACTACTAGTTAATCATTAACGAACAGTTGTTTTTTGAGTTATTTTGGACAATATGGTAAAGTTTTATGATGCGCTGTAGCCAGAGATCGAAGGTAATAATACATCTTGTTTATGCATTTGTGATTATTTAATGATAAAGACTTTGTTGATAGAATTATACAAGATAAATCACATAATAATGACGGTATAGCATTAGAAATACAAAATGCAAAAGATCTCATACGTATCTATCGACAGTCGTTATCAAGATCGTCGAGGTGAAGATATGTAGCAATTAAGACAAGATATTAGATGATAAATATCGACGTTATGATCAGTTAAAACTTGAGTATACTTATTTACGTTGTGATACAGTACATTTAACCGTTTACTCTCCATAAGTCGTCTAAAAGACTCACTAGTAAAACAACTAATCAAACAAATTATTTTTGTCTTCAGTAGATCAATAATATAATCAAATCGGCCAGATGAGTTTCTTTGTATGCACGTTGATTTGACAATTCCAGTTACCATCGAGAAGTTGCAACATGAATATTGTTTTTAATCTTTTGCAAGTAGCTTGTTGATTTCGCAAAAATGAAATGTATGCTTTTGAATTCCAAAATATAAATAAGGAGAAAAAATTAACACAAAAAAAAAATTTTCTTTTTTTCTTTACAACATATGTGCTTCTAAAACAAATTTCTACGTGCATTAAGTCTATTTTTTTCGAAATGATTAAATCATCAAGTAAATGATACAATTAATCATTGATTCGTTTTTCTTCAATTTAGAATATGATAAGATTTAAAATAATTAGAGTGTAAGTATGGATATGATTTGGGATATTTCTTGTGCGACAATGACACCCACATCCGCTCACCCACACTTATGCTAAAAATTTATATAACAACAAATGACGCTCGGATTAATGAATAACAGTAATCTCTTTACTTATCTATGCGTAAATATTAACAAGTATTGCGATTAGGCGAGAGGTTTTAAAACTATTTTTCATGTCATTATCAACCAATAGCAAGTCAAGTCGCCATTTTATGTCGTACAATTTTAACACATGTAAAAAATGTAAACGAATTTGATTCAATAGCAGTAACTTTCGATGATATTTATTGGGTAGCATATCATCAACATAAGTATTTCTCGTAAGTGACAAAAGGCAATTTAAAAAGATGAGGCTCTTTTTCTAGTAATTTCATAATCGTCTCTTTTGTAAGTCGTATATCTTAGAAACAGAGCAAGAATACAAAATTATTTTTGCCAAATCGATAGCTTAGAAACTTCTCTACATACAGTGTATAAGGAGTTTCTAGATACTACGTGTTCTGCATTTTCTGCAATGTTCCTATATATGGCAATTCCAGTTGCCAATGAAGGTAAAGGGCTAACACCTACATTAGTTTATTACATAGTTTTTTTCTCTTCCGTACCTTTCACTTTTCACCGAGCGAATGATCATCA